CAAGAATCCAACTTAGATATAATATCTCATTTTTAAATTAAAAAATTAAAAAAAAAATAAAGGGCACAAATCCACTAACTGCCTTTTTTTTTTAATTTAATTTAAATTTAAATTTGAACAAATGAATACAACATTATCAAAATATAGAAAAAGAAAAAAAATTTAAATGGAGGTCAAAATCAGCAAAATCAAAATGAAAACGATATGGATGTTCATTATTGATAAAATTTCACGTTTCAGTGGGTAGTAAACAATTTTACAATACATTTTAATTTGCAACAATTCACATGTCATATCAATTTAATAAATTGATAATCAATTCATTCAATCATAAATTATTGCATCAAAAATATATCAAATCTTTTTAAAATCAAGCCGTTTTAAAAAGAGTTGAATTTTTTTTTTTAAATCCTTTGATAAAAAAAAAAATTTAAATTTTGAATAATTTATACAAATAAAAAAAATATCCAAATGTTAACAAAAAGTTTTTGATTTTATTAAAAAAAATGAATATAAAAAAAAATATTATGTTAGCTTAGAGATCATGAAAAAATATAATAATTACATTAATTATATGTTATAAATAACAATATATATGTTTAAAATATATTTTTTTTTTTAAGCATTTCACCCCAAGCAAGACAGGAGTGCCACTAGCATGCAAGGGGTTACAGAGAGTGAGAGCAAGAGTAAAGAGGGGTGTTTGAGGAAAGGAAAAGAAGGATGAGGATCAAGATCAAGGCATTAGAAGATGTCGATTGAGATTACATTTGAATATTTGAAGATTACAGCTATCAGGGAAGCAAGTAAGAGGAAGGGAGTTCCATTGTCAGGAAGTATGAGATAAGAAGCTGTTGGAGTAAAAGAGATGTCTACATTTAACTGTTTTGACAGTGAAAGGGTGGGACCGAGATGCCAACCTAGTAGCATGCTTAAATTCATGCAGTTTGGGAACCAGTGAAAGTAGCTTGTCAGAGCAGTTGCCATGAAAATATTTGTAGAAAAGACAGAGGGAAGCCACAGCACGTCTGTGAGAAAGTGACTGTAGACGAGATGCCAGATCAGGACCTATCACATTGCATATCCGTCTCTGGATTTTGTCGAGGACCTTGAGATGAACAGCGAGGGCACCAGACCATATATGGCAGCAGTATTCAATGCAAGGACAAATGGTTGATTTATAGATTTGAAGTATGGACTCAGGTGAGAAAAATTTTCTGGCGCAACGTAGAGAACCAACTTTCTTTGCAGTAGAGGAAGCTATTGCTTCAATGTATTTGTTCCACTTCGGGTCAGCAGACAGCATGAGACCAAGCAGGTGCAACGAGGCACTCTCATGGAGTTGGACATCAGCCATTCTGATGGGAGGCAGGGAGGGTTCTCTGTGGTGAGCAAATGAGAGCAGCTTACTTTTAGAGGCATTGAAGTTTACCAGCCATTTCCTGCCCCAGTCAAACACAGATAGGAGGTCCTTTTTGAGACCAATGGCCAGGTTAGTTTTGTCAGTGATACCAGATTTACTATTGAGGCAGGAGTAAATGGTAGTGTCATCTGCATAGATGCCTACTTGGGAACTGATGACATCAGGAAAATCGTTAATGAAGATCAGAAACAGTTTAGAAACCAGGATAAGGCCTTGGGGAACACCAGTGTTTGTGAGAAAGGAACTGGAGGAGAACCCATTTAGGACAACCTTCATTTTACAGTTTGACAGGAATGATTGTATCAAATCAAATAATCATCCTGTAATGCTGTATCCCTGAAGCTTACAAAGAAGGCCAGCATGCCAAACCCTATCAAATGCTTTAGAGATATCTAGAGCCACGGCTCAAGGTTTTCTATTATTGTGAAGTGCTTGGTATACAAATTCAGTTATGGCTGTGAGCACGACAGCAGTAGATCAGGCAAAGTGGGAAATTGCTTGTCAGATAGCAGATCATTAGATGTAAGGTGCTTAACCACTTCGGCATTGATTAAAGCCTCAAAGACTTTATCAAAGAGTGGTAGGAGATTGATAGGACAATAGTTAGATGGGTCAGAAGGTTCATAAAGCTGATTACCATAAAAAATTACCAAACATTATTGATGACCAAACTAAATTCACCAAACTGGACAGAAATCCTACAGAGACCCTAAAAAGGTCTGTTACAAAATAATAACACTGAAGTTGGTTCCCTGAAAATCCAAAAAATCATGGTGCTATTTTTCTCACAGATGGCGCCCAACTGACCCTACTATACTGTGCAGTTGACAAAATCTAAAAGAAACAATGCACATATGTGAAATTAAAAATATAAAATAGCGACAATTTACCAATCGCACATTGAATGATCGTGTTGCTATAACAGTGCTCAATGTATAAGAACTAGAATTTATACTAATAATAAATATGCATTTTTTCCCTGTTAGCATAAGTTTCATGCACAATGAAAGTGCATGATCAAGTGACAATTTCATGAAACTCAGATTTGTGTTAACGGTATGGAACAAATTTTATTAGATAACACCAACCAGATCTATCTATCCACCTTTTTATATAGTCTTTCCAATTTTTGATTGAGGATTAAATTTTATTTCCAGTAAGATGAGGTAACCCTACAGTACCATTGTGATGTAAGGACCTATCTTGATGAGATTGACAAACAGATTGGATTGGACAAAGAGAGATTCAGTATAATACCTTCTGCATTCACCAGACTTCACATCACAAGACTATGGGGATACTTACAAAGATAAAGTTTACCACACAAGAAGAGTAAAAGTTGATGAATTGATGTCAGCCATTGAGTGAGAATGTGCACAAATAGTAAAGGAAATATTTCTGATATTTGTGATTCCATTACCTCACATTATCAGCAATTCCTGGGCCAAAACAGTAATCAGTTTGAAAACAAGAGTTGACAGTAAAAATTTAAATCTTATCTGTAGATTCTACTAAATTTTGAAAATTAAATGTATTTTAATAAACACTGACTTTATGATCATTCAAAGTATGTACACATTTTGTAGAGACACACTGTGTATGTGCATTTGCTAAAGTTTTAATCTTGCTATATGTGTGTGTGTGTGTGTGTGTGTGTGTGTGTGTGTGTGTTCAAACAAAAATAATACCACTGACATTTGGCCACACTGAAATTGTGTAGGGGTTGGTGGACTCTCCTGTCATATTCAATGTATGTGGGTCAAGCAGCTCAGTTCTTAAGAACAGACAGCCAAACACCAGTACATATGATTTGATTATAATGGTGAATTTTTTGTGCAAAAGCAACCACACTTTTTGAAGGGCCAAATACAGAGACCTGGTGTTTTTTCATGCCACAGTGTCCCCCAAACAACCCTCTGCAGGTTTTGAATTCAGAGTTGTTTTAAATCCTAGACTATTTGCCATCCAAGGCAAGAGAATATTAGTCTGTCCAGCTATTTACAATAAAGCTGGAGGAGAAGAGGGGACTAATACCTTTACCAAGGGTATTAGCACATAAGTAAATGTAATGGATTTGATTGGAATTCAAACTCGATTAAAAAAATGATTCTAAAAATAAGCCACTATCAACTGCACCTCAGAAAAAAGTAAAAAATGGCCTTAATAAAAGGGGTATGCTTATCAGTTTTGGTGTGAGAGGTCCTGGGTTGTGTAGGGGTTAGCAAGCTATATTGATACTAAGTTCAATCCTCACTTCATGCCCTCAGCCGTAGTTATCCTAAACTGTACCTAGCTAAGTAATACTACTGACACTTTTCAGAATTTTTTTTTTTTTTTTTTTACTGGATATAACAAGAGGAAATTATTTCAAGTTTTAAACATTTAAAATATCATATGACTTAAAAGTTTACCGCTAATTGTCTGAGTTTGTGAATTTCAAGAATTTATACAGTGGAATCTCGGGTCAGGAATGCCTCTCATCAGGAATAAATTTTCCAAACCAAAATCATCTCAGATGACAAACGGTGTATCAAGTGACAAACACACAAGCAGGTGACAACATGGAGAGACAAGATGCAAGTGTTGGCAGGAGAGCATCAGTTGCTGTGTAGCTTTTGCTCTGTACACATCCATGCTCAAATTTATGGTATTTTCTCTTGAATTTCATTGTTTTGTATATCATAAATTATTAAACAAGGCAATATCGAGCCAAAGAACTTTAATGATATCAGCAAAGTGAAAATAAAAATGACCAGATTCACAATAGAGAAAGAAGAAAGAAATCATAGCCAAATATGAAAATGACATTAGTGTCTTACCACTCAGTTTGGTATGGCAAAATGAACGATCTGTACTATTCTCAAAAATAAAGAGATGACCAAAGGAACCAATTTTGGAAGATGAGTGAAAGTCTTTAATAAACAAAGATCACAAATGATTGAAGAAGTCCAGAAAACAAATTAATCCATTTTACTTTTTGAATCAAAAACTTATGAGGAAAATAGTTTTGGTTTATAAATATTTCAGATCATGAATAGCCTTAAATTCCTCAACTGAGTTTCTACTGTATTTTGTAAGCAATACAATTACAGATATTAGTCAACACATACCAGTCTATAACTTTAAAATGTACTATATTCAGATGACAATCTTTCATTTAAATGTGTTTAAATAAAACAGACATGGAATATCTGTTGAACATTTTGGTAATTTTCTTCTGGTGTCAAATAGGTCATTTACTGTCAAGTGTAAATTTGTAAAGGAACTTGCTGAAATTGTGTGTAAAATTCCATGTACTTTTGATCCTGACTGGTTATCTTCAAGGAAAAAATAGAAGTCAAGAGTTAGATAGTGAAAGGTTTATGGTGTCAACAGTTTGAGAAGGTTCAAATGAACAGGAGTTCATTTTCTATGGTTGTCAAATAGATTTTAGTATCACACAACTAAAATGACCTTAGGTCAATAAATTTTAAAATATTCAATCGATTCCTGTTATTCTTAATTTCAGAAACATTTTGATGTTTATGGATAAATCAGATGAATGATCAACTAAATAAAAATCTGAAAAAGGACTTACCCATAGCATTGCTTCTCCCCCACTTGTGTGGCATTTATCAGCTAGATGTTTAGCTTTAACGCTAACATTAGCCAAGAACTGGGAGGGTCTCCCCATCAGCACCATCTCAATAACACGGCCATCATAAAGGTGGGCATCGAAGCAGGAGTTCCAGTAAGGATATAAAGTTTTTTTCTTTTGAATTAACTTATTTCCTGTAAAAATAAAAGTAAGGATATGTTGAACATTTATTTGAAAAAAAAAAAAAAAATAAAAAAAAAATAATGGATTCTTTTACATAGGTTAATAGATTAGATATAAATCTTATTTTTTTCCCCCCAAATCAATAGAGTAAAAAACACAATTAAGTCAATATGTTACTTTCGTTAAACTTTAACTTCATGCTGTACATTTTTGCAATATTATCAGTCCTGTCCTGGTATTTCAGCTTCAGTAACTTTCCCATCACCGTAATGTAGTTTCCCCTGTACCTTTTCTTTAAATATTTTCATGGTAATTGTTCTGATGAGCTTTCTGCTTTGGTACCTCAACTTTAGCAATAAGTGCAGTACTAGATGGGCAGCCAGGTCTCATCATTTTACAGTTGAAATGGCTAGATTTAACTGTAAGTTCTATGCTAACAGTTTCTCCTCTCTCTCAATTCTTGCTTTTTACTTTCCAGTCAACTTTGATCATCAAAAATTTACATGCAATGGTTTTCTTTTTCTCATATTCTCTCACATTCAGGAACACCTTGCATCTTAGTGGCTTTATTGCCTTGTTTGAGGTGAAATTTTATATATATATATATATATATATATATATATATATATATATATATATATATATATATATATATATATATATATATATATATATATATATATATATATATATATATATATATATATAAAATCAGAAAAAAGTGTACAGCTACCTATATTTAATTAGAAAGGATAAAAGTATCCAAATTTAAACAAGGAAATAAAATTAATAAAAAAAATGATTTTTATTGGTTGTAAGTCCAGAAGAAAAAATGCTTTCATTGTTTTATGTTAACAAGTGAAAAAGATATTCCTTGACTATCTTGAATTGGAAAATTAAAAAAAATATGTTAGTCCGAGTAAAGAAATAAACACACAGTGTCATCTAATTTGATAATAATGACCTATTATAACTTAGTAATTTGTAAAATAAGAGGAAATTTCTGTTTCAGTTTTAGATAATACAAAATCAAAATCAAAACCTAACCAAATGTATTTGATAATAATTTAATGACATTAAAGTATGCTTCATTAAAGCTAATAAAAAAAATAATAGGTAACAACCAAAACACAATTAGCCAATATACATTGAGGATATTTTTTGTCATAATCCAGTTTATCCTTTCGGGACAAGTTTTGCATATTGACAAATGTTTACTTTTGTAGAGTTTCTTGCATTCAGTCTATCCCATCTCAGAACATCAAACATTTTCATATCTTGCTTTCAAACATTTTTGCTATGATATCTTTTGGCAGATCAGTATGGAACTGAATATTCAATATCACTTGTTTATACTAAGTTTGATTTATCCAAAGAGATCTCTTAAAGCCAATCTTATCTCTCATTCCTTAATTAATTAAATATTTATCATATGATTACCTACTTAGAGGCACACGATGGCAGCTTGGATTGAGGAATCGGAGAACCAAGTTCAAATTCCAGTTGTGTTATGTTACATTGACTTATATGCAAATACTCTTGGGAAAGGTCAAGAAGGAGGACAACTTTGAATTCAGTACCTCCAACTATGGGTTAAATAGCCTTACCAACATGCAATTGGTCAAGCATAGTGAGTACAGCTACACCTCTGAAGACATGGTCAATCAAGGAGTGGTTCCTCCAACAGGTGTGAGTAGGCTCAGGATCTGAATTTGGATATGGGAAGAGTGCTCAATATCAGGGCAGGGATAGAACATTTTTAAACATAAACAGTATGGCCTTATAAATCAATACGATATGGTGACTGACAGTTTAATAAGCATCAATAAAATCAGGAAGTTATGATTTCTACCTCCACACTGTTATATATATATATATATATATATATATATATATATATATACACACACACACACACTGAGGCATGTGTTATTGAAGACTTACTATAGAACTTTCCATTTAATAATCTTTCTTTCGATTTTATTTTTTTTGCTTTCTCTTAAGTTTCTTTGTATTTCTCGCCTGTGGAACTCCCTACCCTATTCCAGTTTCCCTGAGAGCTATAATCTCCAACTATTCAAATGTAATGTCAATCAACATCTCCAGTTGCCTTGATCTATCCACTATCCTTCTCCTCATCCTTTCCTCTATCACTCCTATCTGATCTTGCTTCCCGCCTTGCTCGGGGTGAAAGGATTAAAAAAAAAAAAAAAAAAAAAAAAAAAATGGGGTCTAAGTTTTTGAAAATAAAGACCCCATTCCTTTGCGTGTTTTCAAGTGCTTTCAGTTGTTGTCAACGGTCATCATGGTTGCATGCTTTTGGTTTGAAGTAGGTTGCTTTATATATGAAAATGTGTCTACACAAAACTCCTCAGGTTTGGTAATGAGTATATGTTAGAGGGAAGCATTTTTTTAAGTTATTAAAAAGCAGTGAAAAGACCCCAGATTTGAATCTGTTCTAGTCAGCTTTTATCCCTGGTATCTTATTTCTTTTTTTTTAATCCACTTAGCAAGACAAACTTTCTCATTCAATATCTGCATAAAGAATCTGCCTACTAGTTGAGACAGTAGTAGATTACAAAATTCAGATAAAAACAAATTTGCATTTAAAGGATCTAAAGTCTCATTCTTCATCAGACTATAAAATAAATGGATTTATTAAATAGTGTCTCTCTAGTTATCTATTGAGCACTTTTTAAGCACAAATTCTGCTGCCTTTAAAATATGTTAACTTCAACTAATTTTTATGTATTTTGGTAGGTGTCTTATTAATTTTATGGTAAAAATATATTTGATTATCAATACAGAAAAAAAGATTGAAACAATTTTTTATCAATAACAACTTTATTTCATTCAATCCTCTCCATGCCAAATGGCACTTGAGGTGATGATGTGAGAAAACCAGGTCTGTTCTATCAGCTGCTGTGTTAGGAATCATTTGCAATATTAGCCTCTGAGCTTCAGCTCTACCATTCTATACCAGGTCTTTTTGGGTCTGCCTAGGATTCTTTTGCCCTGTAGTGTCCAGTCGAAGACTGTCCTGGGTAGTAAGTTTGAGGCCATTCTGCAGATGTGTCCAAGTCATTGCCACTGATGTCACTGAACAAATTCTGTGTTTTTTATTGTGTATGACATACAAATATACAAATTTCCACCGAGATGAAATGAAAATATCAAGCTTTAAAGAGATTTCAATGTAAAACTTATAGAAGAAGATTCCACTTATTAAGTTTCTTCCCAGGAATCACTACTTTGTAGAACAGACTCCCACGTGGATGCTTCCCAGAACACTACAATCTTACCCTCTTCAAGCTTCAGCTCAATCATTATCAGGCATATCATTGCAATCTTCATTTTCCACTTACTCCTCTTATATTCATATCACACCTCATTCAGTAAATCTCTAGCTTAAGGGGCACTTGGGCCTTATTTTTCTTTTTAACTTTGAAAAAAAAAAAAAAAAAAAAAAAAATGAAATAAAAGAAAATAAGAATAATGCTACAGAATAAATTCAAAAGCCAAAACTAAGATTTTTATACAAACTCATGCAAAAAGAAAAATGTATCAAGGTAATACACATTTCCTTGTAACAGAGAATTGGGTCAGCCCAATAAAAGACTCCGAGTTGGTTGTATGTGGTGCTGTAAGCAGCAGGAGTTGCATCCCCTTCCACAATGAGCTGTTGAGAGAAGACCTACTTAGAGTAGGTGGTGCAAACTATTTGCATATGAACAATATTGGGCAGGTATTAGCCAATAGTCAGTGTGGGTCTGGGAATGGGAGAGCTATATAACACCAGTTTTTTTTTTCTCAGTTGTGAGATTCGCTCTGAACGTGCGGATGTGTGAAAACCAGACAAGACGAACACAAAGGTAATACACATTTCCTTGTAGACATCTGATCTTATGACCACAAATGCAATCAGTTCTCAAAAGAGAATTGTAAATGTAACTAGTTTAGATTTCATATGTAATGAAAAATAAATTAACTACACCTTAACAAATTATGTTTTAAATATCAAAGAATGTAATGACGTTGAATGGAGTGAAAAACAACAGACTGAATGACTTTAAATTATTCAAGAAAGGCTTTTTGATTCATTCTTTCACAAATAGGTGACCAGTTAAAAAATGTATTCTGAAGTCATCCAAATTAGCAAGAAAGAGACAAAGACAAAGGTGTGTACATTATAATTAATTAAAAGGAATTTTCTATTAATAGTATACAAAAAAAAAAAAAAAAAAAAAATATTTTCAACCTACAAGACAAAAATGTTTAGGATTATGAAGTGAAAATTTGACAACTATTACTGGAATTTACCCATCCCATTTCTGGCCTCATAGTAAATGATTTTTAAGAGATTTAAGTAATTTCATAGTTGCAAATAGAGCTAACACTAAATAATTATATGGGAGGTTAAAAAAATAATATTTTTGCTGGAATGCTGGTTTACTACAGATCATTGCAACTCATTCTGAAAAGCTCAAGTCTCCAGTGCTTCATTTTACATCTAGAATAATTTTTTTTTTTTTTTTATTAAATACTAAAGTCCATGCAATACAAGACTAGAGAGACACTCAAGAGAGGGTTACTGTAAAAGAAGAAGTGAAGATTATGAGGATATGGAAGATAGTCAATTGACACTTGACTTGAAGTTAAGATCCAAGTGTTCAGGGAAGCATTCAATCAGGAGTCTAAAAAAAGGCTGTCTGAGCACAACTTTTCTCTTTAAATTTGAAATTCAGAGGAAATGAAAGTGATTTGATTCTGTGGAAGTAACAGAATGTGAAAATCTGAACAGGTGGAACTAAATGAAGTATGTCCAAACATTTGCCATGGAAACAGCAAGACTGAAGGAATAGGCTTTGCAAGTTGTAGCTGTGCAAAAGAGATTGCAGAGTGGAAAATAAGAATACTGTATATATATCTGTGTATAAGCTGATTTCATGTAGAGTACAACCACTGAATCATTTTGCATAAATTTTAACCCTCTCTGAAAAAAATTTACCTG